ATTTATTTCAGTAATTTTTATGGTTTCAAAAGTGACGGTTACTCTCATTTTTGCTTGATAAAAAAAATAATGATTGCAAAATGTTTTAGTTAAATTAACATTTATGTTAAATTGCTATATTTTTTTGGTTCAAATTGATAAGGTTGAATAGACATTTTATTAGAAATTAATCTAAGACAAGGCTCGAATTAATGCAAAAAAATCTAATTGCGAAAAATTTTTTTTTTTTTTTTTGCTATCTCCCCCTCCCCCCCCTCTCTCTTATAGCTCACGGTAATGGGGGGAAAAAGTTATCGTCAATAAATCAAAAAACATCGTCAAAAACTTAGATACCACGTTTTTTATAATTTATTGTTTCTTGAATAAAGGACTAATAAAAGTTTAAATATAATTAAGTTTTTCATTTAAATGGTTGATGTTTTTATTCAATTTTTCTATTTCAAGTTTTCCAATAAAAGATAAAACAAAAAAATTTGGTTTAATAAATCGAATTATACTTCATGTTTAAAATAAGGCTTAAAAACGTTAAAGTAAAAAAATTGCTGATTTTTATTAGCATATTTATACTGTTTGAAAAAAAAGACTAATAAAAAAGAATTAACTAATAATATATTAATTAATAATTATATATTAATTCTTTTTTATTAGTTTTTTTTTTTCAAACAGTATAAAAATGCAAATAAAAGTCAGTAATTTTTTTTGCTTTAACGTTTTTAAGCCTTATTTTAAACATGAAGTTTTGATAAACAAAGATAAAAACCAACTTTTCAACTTTTCGCTTTGACGACAGGGATGCCAGATATTTTACGATATGCGGTAGCCAGAAATATATAATTAAGTAGCCAGAAATAGCCAAAAGTGGCCAAAAAGTTGCCAAATTGTCCGCGATGGCATTGGTTTAATTTTGAAAACGTATATCTTATTGGCTATAATAAGACAATCGGATAAATTTGAACCAATGATAATTTAGATCATGTCAACTTACCGTAAAAACTGTCGTTATATATATTTTATGTTGTTTCATAACCGTACTTATAAAAATAAATTAAAATATAAAAGCAAGTTAAGTTAACTAGTTAAATAAATAAAAACAGTAAATTCTTAACTATTTAATAGTAAACAATTATTATTATATATTTTTTTATCAAAAAGGTTAAATCTTAAAAAAAAAATCAAAGTTTTTATTTAATTTAATATATATCCTCTTTATAAAAGTCATTTTAAAAAATGCCTCATACTATAATACCACATATTTACCATTTAAGACGAAAGAAAACTTTGCGTTGAGAGTATTTTATTTTTTGTTCTATTTTAAAAGGTTTTTTTATATAACTTGAATAGTCCCTAGAAATATAGTAAATTTTATTTGAAAGAGTTTTCCCTAAACAACCTAAACAAATAATTTAAGTTAACATACTAAATAAAACTTTTGTTTTGATTTTGGTAGACATAATTATACAATATTAGAGCAAGCGTTGTTGGTAATAAAAAAAATTTAATAACTATTTCTATATAGATTGCTTTATTATTATATTAATTTGGGGTAAAAATATTCATTAAGAGAAATAAAACCATTAACTTTTTTTTTTTTAAAGTTTTCTATTACACAATACTTAATCGTTAATCGTCCTATATATCAACTTCAAAGTCATCAATATTTTCTGAAAATGAAGAGTCTCCAATATCGGATTTGTATACTATATCCGAACTAAAATTAGTCAGCATTTTTTTTGATATAGTGAAATCTTGACAGCACTTTCCAGATAAAATTAGTTCCGATCTTATTCTTACTACAGCATCTAACATATTTAGTGAAATTCTATTTCTGGCTTTTGTTTTAGTGGCAGATACAAGGGAGAATATCCTCTCAACAACAGCATTGCTAACAGGTGTTATCAAACAAGTTAAGGCATAGTTTGCAAGGTTTTTAAAAGTGTTATGCTGGAGAACACCTAGCCAAAACTGCTCAGTATCAGTTGGAAAACCACCTGTTTTAAATGGTTCTTCTTCTTTCCAATCTACAAATAAAATTTTTCGATACTGTTCTTCTATTAAGCCCAAGTCATCTTTTAATAGGTGTAAAAATGGCAGTTCAGAAATATCGGGTCTTGATTCTTTACTTAAAATAATATCTGGATTCAAGGTCGATAAATTTTTAAATGTCTCCATTGATGATGGTAGTCTAGATGTTACTTGAGTATAAGCTTCATCTAACACGCACAAGCATCTTTCTTTTAAATTTTTAATTTTCTTAATAGAGTCAATGCTATGATTGCAATTTTGTAAATAAGAGTCACATTCTTTTATAAATTTAGCACCAAAGTCAACCTTATATATACTCTTCTTATTGCTGTTAAAATCATAAATTCTATGATTAAGGCTCATTTGAAACAAATTCATTTGTTTGTAAAGTTCACACGGATCAGCTTTTGTTTGCTGAAAGAGACTATTCATTCTTTCAAATTCCTGAACAATTGGTGTTATAAAGTGAAAAAATAAAAAATTTTCAACGTCTGACAACATTTCTTTTAAAAGTCTTGCTTTGAATCTGGACCTAAAATTAGAAGGTGATAGTTCAGCACAAATAAAATAGGCTTTAAGCTCTTCCCAATTCATTAAAATATTAAACATTACTTTTCCACGAGCAAGCCACCGTGTAAAAGAAGATTTTTCAAATGGTAAAGGGGCATATCGAGCTGTCTCAGATTCCGTAGCAGCATTTATTACATTAAACAAATCGATGTAATTTTCACGTCTTAATGAGCTATTACAAAACCAATGGGGTATTTCTGACAATAAAAATGCAATATTTGAAGGCAGTTTAGACACTGCGTGTTCAATGCACAATGCTAATGAATGACAGATGCACTTAAGCTGAACACAGTTAGGTGAAACTTCTTTAATTCTTGTCCAAACAGAATTATTACATCCTGTCATGTTTGATGCACCATCTGAAGCAAATCCAATACAATTAGTAAGACTCTGACCACATTTTTTTATTTCTTGATCAAGCAAGTGAAATATATTTTCTCCTGTAGTCTCCTGGACTAGAATTAATCCCATAAATTTTGTCACAATTTCATTTTTTAAAACACTAAAAAAACGAGCTAAAATGCACAAATGTTTGTTTGCTGAAATGTCAGTAGACTCATCTATTATTAAGGCATATTTTTTGTTTTTAAAGTCCTCAACAACATCATCTCTCAATGAAGGAGAAATAACATTTTTTATCAATCCCATACACTTAGTTCTATGGATTTTTACATGTTTAAGTAAACTTCCACGTCCATAAACAACAAAAACTTCATTTAAGTGGTCAACAGTACGCACAGCACAGTGGCAAGTCATAGTTAAAGCGATGCGTAGTTCAGCTTTTTTTATATCTTCTGCTAAATTTATATCGGTAAAACTCTCAATTAACGGAGTACTTTGTTTGTGTTTCAAAGATTTGTTATGTTTGACAAGATTGGTCATTTTGGGCTTCATAATACAGTGACACCATTTACAATATGCTCTATGGGTACCATCTTCAACCATTTGAAGCCATAAAAACTTTTTCTCCCATATCTTTTTATATTGGCGATTAACATCATAAGAAGTCTTCCATTTTTCTGAAGACATACTGATAAACTTTTTTAAATTCTAAAAATGAATAAAATTAAACTGCTGTTCTTGCTTTGTCTTTTATTAGAATTTATATTAGAAGTTAAAATATAACATTAAATATATTCAACTATATTATCATTTTTATACATTATATCTTTATACATTAATATATATTATACTTATTGTACATAATATACATTAATAACAATAACATTGTAAAAGTTTAAAAATAACATTTTTTACACTTAATAAAATAAAAATCTTAGTAAGCTAATTAAAAAATAAAATATAAATATATTTTAAAAAAAATATATAGCTAAATTGCCGTTTGGCCGATTATTTTTTGCGGTGGCCAGATACACGGATTTGGCCACCAAGTGGCCAATCTGGCAACCCTGTTTGACGACCTTGTAAAAATTTTCCACGCAGAGATTTAAAGTAATTTAAATTCAAAAATGAATTACGTTGAAAGAAAATCTCCGCGCGAAAGAGCAAATCATCTATTCATCTATCTATTCAGAATAATAAATTTTGTGTGACGTTCTTTATGATAAAAACATTACTTTCAAGAATTGCTAAAAAAATGCTAAGATAGAAAAAAAGTAATTAATCAACCAAAAAAAAAATGAGTCGCGAAAAGATTTTTTTTAAGAAAAAATTAATCACAAAAGTGTGTGTAGCAATCGCGATCGCGATTAATACGAGCCCTGTAAAACTTTTTTATAAGTTCTAAACTATTTAAAACTATTACTTATAACTTTTTTTTAACGACGTCTTTCAACCGAATGCTATTATACTGTTTTTGCAAAACTAATTAAAAAAATTTGATTAAAACTTACCTATTTAATCACGACTTTTTTTTACTTGAAAATCGAAGTAGATATTCTATCGAGTTTCAATGGTGAAAAAATAAAATCAAAATGGAGTTGTTTTTTAGTGATTTCGGCAATTGCTTTTTGTTAGCATGCATTTATTATTACAATTTAGTGAAAAAGAAAAAAAACTTACATATTTTTTTATTATGCTCTTTCATATGAGATCATATGTTAGGAGCACTTAGGGATCCCTTTAATTAGTTATTTTTTTAACTGTTATTAGTGGTTTTTAATAAAGTATTCTTTATATTACCCATCAATTAGCATATTTCTTTCTCCCCAAATATGAGGTTAGAATGAAATAGTTTTTTTTTCCAATTAAATAAAGTTTCTTAAAAAAATTAAAAAAAAAGTTATTTGATTTTGTATATTTAAATTCACCTCAAAATTCTTTACAACTTAAAAAAAAGAATTAAAATTCTTTTTGCCATGGAAAAAAAAAAGAATTTTTAATTATTTCATTTTGACCCACGTTTGCTCTACTTTATACCTAATTTAAAACATGTTTTTAAAATTTAGTTTCGACTGATGAATTGCAAACAAAGCAACTGCTATCTGCTAAAGTTTCAAAAGATAAAGGTGCTAAAATAAAAGATGAAAAAAAGTTAAAAGGACTTGAAAAAGATAAAACTCAAAAAGAGAAAATTTTTATATCAAATCAACCTTTGACTAAAGTTGATGAAACACCTGTTATTATATTTGCTTGTAATGTGCTAGGTGAAAGCGAGTTTTCAGAAAAATATCCATTTTATTCACCATTAATACAACATGTCTACATAAATTACATTCGTAATTGCTCATTGATTCCACCTCCTGATTTAGCTCCAATCCCTCAATGGAAGCTTATAAGAAAGAAAAAGGAGCTCAAAGAATTACTTAAACAGCAAGTTAAAGAGCCAAAGTTTTTACAGCTTAAATCTCCTTTTTTTCAATTTAGCGAATGCAATAATAACACTGCTATTAGCACTTCTGATAATAACTCTTCAACTAATAATATTTATATTGATAATTTTATTAATAGGAGTATAACAAATAACACTTCTAATAGAAATTTGAGTGTATTAGTTGAACAACATGATCCTATTGGTAAGATTAACATGGTTGAGAGTTTGATTGATTCTTATATAACTAAGCACAAAAACAACAACAACAACAGCAGAGGTTTGGAAGGTGCAATTGATACTTTGACTAAATACAATAATAATGGAGTTTTGGAAGGGGGAAGTGATGCATCAAGTAAATTAAAAAAGAAAATAAATTTAGGTATTTTGTTCAACTGTTTAGTTTTATAAACAATAATCAACTTATAAATATTGCATATTATGAGTGCTTATAAAAATTAGACTGTAGTTTTGATTAATATGTCCCATATTGTAAATAAAACTATAACTTATTTATAATTTATTTTTAATTTATTATAAGTAAATTAAATTTTTTACACACACATGTATAGAATATGTATACATACTTTATATATGTGCATTTTGTGCTCTTAATGTAAAAAAGTGATCTTTAATTTTTCCGGAAAACAAAGAATAATAAAAGAAAATATTGCTGCCCCATTCCTAATTCTTAGTTGATGTTAGCTGCACTTCTTTGTGGCAGCAGGCAGTAAGATTGTTAATGTATGTACTGAAGCCCCCATAACTTTCTGTTTTAGTATGATGTCATCCGTGTGCATCTAATGCTGCATTTATGTGTGTGTGTGTGTGTGTGTGTGTGTGTGTGTGTGTGTGTGTGTGTGTGTGTGTGTGTGTGTGTGTGTGTGTGTGTGTGTGAGTATATAATACTAAGTGAGTACTTTTGTATTATCATGTATATTTTTGCATGCTTAAAAAACTTTTCAATAAATAAACTAGAACTATATAATGTATTATTTACTGTTTATTATTACTACCTGCAGTAGCAGGAAATAACTAAATGCTAATATCTATAATAGACTATTGTTACTCAAGTTTCATGTGTTTCCATAATCATCAGACAATTAGTAAAAAGTTAATTTTGCTACAATTCGTCTAGCAGAAGTAATGAAATATATGTGTTTTAGATTGTTTAGGACCAGAAATTGTTTAGTAGTTAAAATTAATGTTAGTAATAATTTGTTATTATTTAGTAACTGTTTAATAATTACAAAATAGCTAGACATTTGAATGGTTTAATATTAAAATTATGATTGTTGAATAGTTGTTTAATTTTTTTTTTTTTTTTTTTGTATAAATAAAATGCATTTATATGGTAATGTATGTGCAATTTATACATATACATAGATCTTGGATTTATCAAAACCTTTATAAATATTAAACTGTTCTACTTATCTTCACTTAAATTTCAGGAAATGTAAATTGGGTCAAGTATATATTGATTCCTATATTGAAAATTTTATTTCTATAAGGTTATTACTTTTTAAAGAACTGTAGGTTCATTAAGTTTCTTTTAACTTATGCCCTATTTAAACAGTGTGTTTGGTTTTTTTTTTCTTTTTTTTTATGTATACATTGCTAAGACCAGGTAGACATTGACATTGTTTAGACCTGGGAGACATTGCTAAGACCAGGGAGATTATTATGGTGTTTACTATTATTTTAAAGTTGTTACAACCCTTTTTCAATCCTCTAAAAATCCAAAACATGAATCTTTTGACAAACTAGGTTGCTGCACAGAGAAACAAGTTGAGGGCAGTACTACCCTCAAATTACCACAGTACTATGGTAGCTGGGGATTGAACATGGAACTACTTGTTTACAATGCAACTGCTCTACCACTACATAGCTATCATTTGTTATACTTAAGTGTCATATCTGGGTCAGTGCAGCAATAATTCAAGGCTGTAATTTTAGATTCTTTTCTTGTTTTCTTTGTTTTTTTCTTGATTTGTTAATTTTGCCTAATTTTGGCATTCCAAAACATGATTTTTTGTTTTGTTTTGATCAGATAATGTTAATTTGCAATTGAGTCTACAACAAAATATTTTAGGTATACTTTTGTCTGCTAGAAAACTTTGACCAAAATTTATTATCAGTATCAGTATTTTTTTCAGATAAAAATGGGTTAGCAATAGAGGCTTGGATAGAGTTTGATGATTTCTTAAAGTTTTTTAGGTTAGTTTTTATTTCAATTAATTTCTATAATATTGTAAAATGCATTTTTAAAATTAGTCTAACATTTTTTATTGAGCTTTGTTTAACTTTGTTTATCTTTGTTTTATATGAAAAAAAATTATTTTTTAAAAAAATCAAATAAAAAACAATGTTTATTGCCAATACATTAACATTTTTATGTTTTATCCTAATTACCTGTATTGGGCAATTTTATTTTATTTAAAAGACTTGATCTGTGTAAATGTGTTTTTTTTTTTAAAAAAATTTAAATATTAAATTTTAAAATGTTAGCATAGTCATTTATAATTAATTTTTTATTAAAAAATTGCTGTTTGATTTTATAATTTTCCAAAATTACAAATGTTTTTTTAAAAACTACTGAAAATTATTAATGCTAAAAATTTACTCTTTTTTAATGCTTTCCTTATTTTATTTTTTATATGTACATTATAGCTAAAGCCTTATTCAATTTGTTTAATATATATTTAGCATGCTGCTGATTTATCATAAACCCAAAATGTATTTCAAAACAGCATCTGAAACTAAGGTATTTTTTAGTATTTTTTTTCCTACTTAACTGTTTTTTTTTTACTAAATAACATTAAACTATTGTCTGTCTCAACTCACTCAGATTGTATACAAAGTATTTATGTACTTATTAAGGCTATATGGATAGCTTAGTTAGTAAATATGTGAACTGAAATGCTTAACCATGTCCAGTTATGTGTCTGGACAATGATCAATGTGGTCATTATAGGTATGTGCAACTAGTTTTTCATTAATAAATAAATATGTTGGGTTAAAATATGGTATTAATACAAACCGACAAAGTTATAAAAATAAAGAAAAAAATAAAGAATGTAAAAAAAAAAGGAGCAGTTTGATTGTGCATAAGCGTAATTAAAAAAGCAAAAACAATTTTTTTACAGAAGAATGGATACTATCTGATGTTTTAACTTTATTTTAAGAAGGATTTGCAAGTATAATTATTCCATACAATTAACCTGGTGCCAGTACAAAAAAGGATTAAAAGTTGTCTAATATCTCTTTTCATTTATGTTCTAAAATTATTACAAAGCAGAAGAAACATTTATGATAAGTGTCTTCTGGTACAGTAGATATTTACAGTAATTCTAAGTGGAATAGGAGATACTCTGAAATGACAATTTTGCAGAAAAAGTGACACTAACAAATGGTTACACTTCATAGCATTATTAAAATTTTAAAATTTTAAATTATTTTTGCAATATTATTATATTAAAACATAGGGTTCGGACTGTTGTAATTGTAATTGTAAAAATTAAATACAATAACACATTACAATACAATAATATTGTATTGTAATACCAGAGATGTAATTAAAACATCATTTATTGTTATTGTATTGCCGTGATTAAAAACATTTACAATAACTATTATATTGTTTTTTTATCTAACAATACATTGAAGTTCTAAAACTATTGTATTCTATTGCTGTGATGTAAAACAGTTACAATAACTTTTGTATTGTATTGCTGGAATGAAAAACAATTACAATGACTTCTGTGGTATATTGTATTACTATTTCATAGTCCAATAGCTATTGTATTTTAAAGTATTTAGATTCTTTTTCCACACATTTATTATTATTTGGGTACTAGAAAAGTGCCCATGACGCTCGTTTTTAGCAGTCATTTATATATACAAATTTTATTTATTTTGAGAAGTGAAGTGAAGCCAGGAAAGCCAAAGAAGTATATTTTTGTTACATATACTTAATAAATATTAAGTTCAGAGGCACTCATGGCACCCGTTTGTAGCAACCATTTACATACATAAGTTTTATTTATTTTGAGTTTAATAATATAAGACAAAAGACAAAGTTATATTAGAGTGTTAGTTGAGTAAGTTTTGAAACAATTGGATAGGTGCCTAATGTAAAAGCAAATAACTAAGTGGAAGAAATGGTAGTAATTGATCATGTCTGTCCCCAGCAATAAAAGAGGTTAGAGGTATTTTATAAAATAAAAATAGAATCAATAATTGTATATTAGTTTTACCCTCAAGCTCACATATCTCGGAGACTGTTAAAAAATTTATTAAATTTTGGCATTACAATATTTTTTTATTACAATAACAATAAATTGTTATTGTATTATAAAGATGAATTACAGTAGAATAATTATTGTTTTTGTAGTGGTTTATTACAATACATTTTTTTTCAGATATTGTTATTGTATTATGAAGATGAATTGCAATATATTTATGCACATATTGCAATATATTTATTATTGTATTACAGTATAATCACAATAAAATAACAATAAATAACAATATTATAAAATAATTGTAAATCATAAGTAATGTTATTGTTCCTAAAAAAGTTAATACAATTACAATAGTTATTGTTTTTGTTATTGTTTTCATTACAATTACCACTCTAATTACTCTATTTAAACATGACTTTTTTAATAAATAAGGAAGTCGTGTTTTTTATATTATTTGACTACCTCATAATACTTGTACTTTGCTTCTGCATTAATTGTTTTATGTTTTAAAATGTTTTATTTAAATTACATGTATTATGCCAAATAAGTTTTCAATTATAATACCAAGATCTTACTGAGTTGTGGTCTTGCATGATGTATGGTATCTTACTGAGCTTCAAGAGTCCTTGTAAAAACATAAGAAATAAGTTATCTTACTAAAGATACATGTTTATTGTAACTATGATAATTTGATTAAGTTATCTCATTAAAGAACTAAAGAGTTCTGCCTTTTAAAAAAAAATTTTAAGAAATATACTTTTTGATTAGTAAAAAATAAGGTCAAAAGTTGAAAGAAAAAGATAACAATTTTTTTTTCCTATAAGCTAAAATAATCATCTCATTTGTGCATTTATTATATACTGACGATTATGTAATTTATACGATATATATATATATATATATATATATATATATATATATATATATATATATATATATATATATATATATATATATATACAAAAGTAATATGATCTCCTGAATTAGTGTTAAAGTGTATAATATTTCAATAAATTTAAATTGATAGATTGATATAACAATCTTTCAAATAATAAAATAATAAATAAGATTTATTATTTGAAAGATTGTTATATCAATCAACCAACTGTTTAGACTATTATTAGACAATAATTTTATGCTTATATACATAACATTTTTTCCTATAACAGTTATTTGATATAAAATATGAAAAAGAAAGCTCAACCAGCAATCCTAACGAAGAATTACCTTCATCAGTCATTAACAGAATATCATGTAGTGAACTTTCATCTCCATACATAGTTATTGATAGTTTAAAAAAAACAGAAATTATAATATGTTTTCAATCTTTTTCTCGATGGTTTGAACATAGCAGTCCTACTGATGGTATGTTTTTAAAAATTTTAAAAATAAATTTAAAATTTTTTTAAAAATACAAGTTTTTTACAATATTGATATTTTTAATGAATATTTAGTTGTTCAGAGAAAGCAATCTAATTTTCCTGGAAATCTTTATGTTGAACCATTTTGTTGGCGAGAAATACAAAAAAAAAAAGCAGTTTTGAAAATTTCAACGATTGGCATAAAATCAGTTACCATGTCGCTACCTCCTGGGTTTATAATTACTTTTATTATTTTTTTTTATCTTTAGTTGTTGTTGTATATAAAAAAATGTTTCTATGACTTTTGTAAATTTCAAATTTAAATTAAAGTTGCATACATCTATTTATAAAATATTTATTTTATGTTTTTTATGACTATGAAGAATTAATGTGGTCCATTTTAAACTTTTTTTGAAATTTTGACTAGGGTTTTTACCAGTGATGATACTTGATCTAAAAATGCTAAATATCAAAAATCTTGAATTTAGGACGATTTTTAGATCCCCCAAAACATTGGAACTTCAAGTAACAGATTGTGCAAGATGAGTCAGATTGCTTTCCAGAGTTTTTGAAAATAGGGATAACAGATGCCGCTTACCAGCAGGCTGGAAAACAAGACTCTGATAAGCGCTTGTTAAATAGTTTTGAAAGTATAGACAACAGCTCTGGAGAACACTTCTGCAAGGTTATAACAAGTATGTTGTCTGGACCACAAGCTGTAGAAGAGTCTTAGCAGAAAATCACTATAGATACAGAAACTGGAGTGATACAAACGTTATAGATACAGAAGTAAAGGTTTTGGTTAGAAATTGGAACAGCACAATGCAAGGTAAACCATGGAAAAGAGTGAGGCTTGACTTATAATCATCGAGAGAGAATAAAAGATTCCATGCCAGCCTGAATTCAAGAAGTTATATAAGAAGCATATTTGTCAGCAGGAAAACAAAAGATTTTTACCCAAGGACCATTACAAAGAAAATCACTGAAAGATTCAGGGGTTTGGAGCAGCTCCGGAGCTGGAGCCAGAGCTATCCGGAGCTGTTAATTTTATATGGAGCTGAGCCGAAGCTGGAGCTAAAATATTTCCTGCCAGAGCTGGCTCCGGAGCCAGCTCTACCCTTTTGATACTTTGAAATATCAAATTTCCATAATGTTATTATTTTATAAAAGATTTTTTTAAAGAATTTAAACAATTACGCTTATTAAGAATATTTATAATTTCTAAATAATTCATTTTTTTATATGGTTTATAAAAAAAACAAAAAAATTTTTTTTTTTAGAATTTAATTTTTATCCAATTATTTTGTGTAATATGTCATGTGGTTCTTATTGTAGATTATGATAAGTTACTTTAAAATAATACTTCTAAACAATGTCAATGATCGGTTAAAGAGTCGTCCATAAAGTACGTAAGCTTTTTTTTCATCTCCCATTCCCCCCCCCCCTCCCCCCTCCTCATCCTGCATTTTGCTTTACACTTTTTTGAGTACCCTCCACCTCCCTTAAAGTACCTTTTTAACCTACCTACTCAGCATTTTATGATATTTTTTAAAATTTAGTATCTCCTTTTTTTTATAATTGACCCCTCTCCCCCATTCAAGCGTACTTTATGTACACTCCTTTCTGTACATACTGTATGGACAATCCTTAACGAAAAAATACTTTATCTATGTGTTAAGTCACATGATTTGTTTTAACGTTTTTAATTAGTTGAAATATTTTTAAAGTAGATTTAAACATGTGAATTCCAAATAAAATTAGGAAAAGATTTTGAACGTTTTTTTTTTTTTTTTTTTTTTTTTTTTTTTTTTTGTTGATATTATTGATATTACTTTTGTTTATACTATCTTTTTTTATTATTTCTCTTATTTTTAAAATTTGTCATTTACTTTTTTTTCATAGTTTTTTTTATAAAAAACTATGAAAATATGCTTTAAACTCAAACGATCCTGAGAGAAACTCAAACGATCCTGATTACATGTAAGATTACAGAAAAGTTAAATGATAAAGTGATTTCATGCGCCATGCAATTAAAAAAATCAAAAGTTTACAATATGAAACGGCATTTGGAAAAATCACATCTATCAGAATATAAAATTGTTAAATATGAAATGAGCCTTATGGGCCAAAGAAAATCTTCGAAATTATTTTATCACATTGACAAGATTTCAATACTAAAAAAGATTTTGATTTTTTTGTTATCACTAATAGTTGAGCAATAAATCAAGTTAGTGCTAAAGGTTTTAAAATTGGAATTATTAAAATGGTAGTGAATAATGGAGTTTTGTTGAAAACATTTGCGGATGAAGGATTTTAGTTGGTTAAAGGCCAATTAGGAAAAACTCTTGGATTCACTACTGGACATAACTCTGTACACAGTTTGATTAATAAACTTGCTGAAAAAAAGAAAGCTGAAATAAAGGAAATAGATGAAAGAAACTCTATATAGATTTGGTATCAGCAATGATCAAGTAGTATGTGCAAGTGTAGACAATGCAGCCAGTATGATTAAAACAATCACAATTTTAAACAAATATTAGATGAAAATATTATGCTTTACATGATTAAGAACAAGTGGAATTTTTACAACAGGATACAAATGAAGAAGAAAGTGAAGAAAGAAAATTGTTATCCCAGAATGGTGTCAACAATTGTCTACTGACATTAAATTGATGCGCTGTGTTATTCACACTTTGCAGCTAGCTATTCGTATAATTAAAAAAAAACATACACTGTCCAACTTTTGGCAAAAAATCATTATTTTGTAAAGATACTAAGAAACTCACATACAATATTTTTAGCAAAGAATCAATACAAGGTTGTTTCAATTTTGGATAATGAGACACACTGGGGTTCTACATTCCAGATAATTGAAAGATTACTACTTTTGCGTCCACTGTGTGAGCAATTTGCTGCAGTTGATCAGATATTCTTTCTACGCCCTGAAATATGGAATAAATATAGTCATCTTTGCAAACTTTTTAAAAAGTCACATGATGTGACAGTTAGTCTACATTACTCCAGGAGAGTTTCTAAAAGAATAGTTGAAATTGAAATCTGACCTAGATAAGAGTCAAGGACTATTTGCAGAAGACATTTAAAAATCTATGCAGAAATAAGTAAAAAACCTTATGATAATGATATATTTCTAGCTGCAGTTTATGTTGATGCTAGATATAGAATACTATTGGAAAAAAACTAGATAATAGGATCAAAACAAGGCTTAAAAACAATAACAGAAAAAATTTATAAAAGAGATGCCAAAAATATAATATAAAGTCAAGAAATAAGAAATACTGCTGTGCTATCTACAGTACTTCTTTCAGTTTTAAGTGAATCTAATTTCGATGGAGAAGAGGGTGAGTTTGAAAAGGAGCTTGATAAAAAAAGAAAAAGGAGAAGTGTGACCAAAAATAATTTTGGTCACACTTCTTTTTTGGAGCAAAATTTATTTTGGTCACTTGTATACCAATCTCACAAGTAAGTGTAGAGAGGCTGTTTTCTGCTCTTAAGTTTGTATCAAGCAATATGCGTTCTTTACTCAAACCTGATATTTTAGAAACTTTATTTTTAAGGATGAATCAAGATTTTGATTAACAAAATATTAATAGTACTTAAGTTACTGTCATAAAACAATTAAAAAAAAATTTTTAGATGTTTTTTTTGCAGAGCCGCTCTGGAGCTGGAGCCAAAAATTCTAATGAAGCCGGAGCCTGGAACCGGAGCCAATTTTTAGACCTTGGCTCCAAAGCCTTGCAAAGATTCCCAGTCAGCTTAAAGGATAAAAGGTAAGAGGTAGAATGATAAGGGGATTCTGATGATGAAGAAGAATGAGATAATAATTTTAGAGGAATCAAACTGTGATCAGAAGCACCTAAGGGTAAATGTGGAGAAACTGAGCACTGATTAGAAACTGAAACAAGACATAAGTCAAGATTGTCTGGAAAAGTTAAGGTGCTAGTTAAGTAACTAGTGAATCATTTATGATATTCTTGCATAATATTTTAGTTGTTTTTGAATATGATGATTTACCATGTCAAATGCTTTTGACAAGTTTAAAAATATACCTAAAGTAAATTTGTTATACATTCAAATTGTATATGTTACTACACCACAAACAATATAGTTTATAACTTAAGGGTTATTAATTAATTAAAATATATATGTTTAGGAGATTTATCTTTCAATTGGTTGTTTATGCTCAACTGGGTTTTAATGTAACTGTATGCTCGATGGATTCTTTTTCAATGTGTGACGAACGCACCTTGGTGCAACATCTTAACAAAGTTAGTATATTTTAAGATTTTAAATAAGTTAAAACAAATATTTACTTTTTTATTATTAAATTTTTATTGGAATAATAAAATTTAATAAAAATGAAATAAACACAATTAATAAAAAGCCAAAAAGTTTCTCCTTGTTTAAGAGAGAAATCTTTGTTTTTATTGGTGCTAAAATCTCTGCAAAATCTAATCATAAAAGCCAATAATTTTAAAATTTATGAAATAAACTTATTAATAATAAAAAAATATATTCTTGTTTATGTTATATGATAATATCTATTTATGTATTTTTAACATATTATAGAATGATTTCGTAAAAATGTAATTCTCTACAATAAACAGTCATCAAAAGAACTGGAAATTAATGCATCTACTATGATCTTTTCTTATACTATTAAATAATAAGGTTAATGTGCTTCTTATGTAACTTCTGGGATTCAAGCTAGCATTGAATCTTTTATTCTCTCTCAACAATTACAAGTCAAGCCTCACTCTTCTCAATGGTTTTCCTCTCATTGTGCTGCTGCAATTTTCAGTTGTAACCATTACTTTTGTATCTATCAGCAAAACAATTCTCCAGAAAACAGACATCTGTTTATTATTGCTAGAAACAATTGTAAAAAAGTTTTGTCTAATGCCAAAGCCCGCTATTCTTAGGTCACAAAATCTTTTATTTCATCTAAAAAATTAGGCTCTCATGAATCTCTCAAAAAACAGTAACAATAATAAGGGCAAATCTGTTATTCCACCTCTCTTGTATGGTTCAGACTTTGTCACCTCACCTAAAGACAAAGCTGAATTATTTGCTAAGAACTTTTCATCCTTGTATTGATTTAAAGCCAACACTCTCTGATTATTTGGAGGGGACATTTGAGCTTGAAAAGGAAAAGCCTTTGCTACTGCATGAAGCTTACAGTGGCTGGTGAACTTAAACTCAGATAAAACTCAATTTTTTTCAGCCAATTGTTTGCAACAATCTAGATCATCCTATATTTATTAACGGTAATGTACACGATGAGTCCTTTACCCTTTATCTTCCAGGATTTACTTATACTTCCAATCTTTCTCGGAAACCATATATCAAATAGATTACAAAATTAGCAACTGCTAAAGTTGCATCTCTTTATCATGCTTGCCACTTTCTTACTCCGGATTCTATTCTTTATCTCTATAAATCTCAAATTTGTCCTTGTATGGAATACTGTTACCATATCTGGGGTGGATCTTCCAATGATGCTCTTTCTCTTTTTGACAATGTACAAAAATGCATTGTAAACATAGTTGGACCTGCTCTTGCAGCCAACCTCCAAACATTATCACATTGTAATGTTGCTTTTCTTTCTCTTTTCTATAAATACTACAATAAGCACTGCTCTAAAGACTTTTGAGCAGTGTTTATTATAGACTTTTGAAAATAAATTTTAGTAGATGGCCCAAGAGACTCTAAAGCGTCTCTTGGGCCATCTACTAAAATTTATTTTCATGCTACTCCTCATTCAATTAAGAGTCATCCTTTTTGTCTTTCAAAAAATACTAGAGGAATCATTTTTATTTGACTAGTTTTTTCCATGTACATCAGTTATCTGGAATTTGCTTCCTTTATCTTGTTTTTCTGATCCATATAATTTGCAATTTTTTAAGTTGACTGTTAATAATTATATTGCTCTGTAAACTTTATGTTTATTCACCTGTAAGTTACTTTATGTATGTTTGTTTTCTGTTTAAATCTCTGATCCAGTGTGTGCTCAGTAACTAATAGTGGCTCCAACAATAAAACCTACTCTCACCTTAATCTCTAGTATTTTGTCAGATGTTATGTTTTTCCTAATGCATTTCTAAAATATCTTGTTTGATATTTTAAAGTATTATTTACAGGAATTAATTCCTTTTAACTACTCCAGGTCAGGTTTAGGATCATCACAATCCCCCTGGTACCGTTATCATGTAACCCAGTACTAACTGCCCCGTTGCCTGTTGCCTTTTAGGGTTTGCTTTTTTAGGCAAAGGTTAGGAAAAACAGACTCCAACTTAAAAATTCCCTGCCTTAGGGTTTTTGATTGAGTAAAGGCTAGATATGGCGTGAATAGCAGCCATAGCACAGTGGTTAGAGTTCTGGCTCAGAACCCAGAGGTCCAATGTTTGATGCCTGATTTAGCCCAATAAGCAACATTAATAATAATAAGGTAATAAGGAGGTTTGAACTTCTAGTTAAATGCTCTCCGACGATGCTCCGTGATAAAACCGTAAGGACTTCTGGGAGCACCTAAATAACCTAAAAAAAAATAATAATATAGTGTCTCCATAAAAATACTCATCTTAGGCAGATGTTAATTGCATCCAGCTACTGTCTTATAGAAGGTCTTCTAGGCAACCAGCTTAGAACCCCTTCTTTATGCATTAAGCTGCCGTAGATGTAAGCCTGTGTTACATTGTTTGTAACCTGTGTTACATTGTTTGATGAATGATGTATCTTCTTGCTCTACTCATAGAAAGTCTTTCTGGTTCTTCAAAATTCTCTTATACTCTTTTCCCCTATACTCTTTTTAATTTACATTAACAATCTTCCAGATATTCTCACATCTAAGGTGGCATTGTTCGCTGATGATACTACTATCTATTTTTGTCATAATAAGAAGCCAACACTCTTTGATTGCTTGGAGGGGACATTTGAGCTTGAAAAGGATTTCACTTCTGCCACAGCATGGGGCTCATAGTGGCTGGTGAACTTTAGTTCAGATAAAACCCAATTTTTTTCAGCCAATCGTTATCACAATAAATTTGATCTTCCTATATTTATGAATGGTAATGTACTTGATGAGTCATCTACTCTTCATCTTCAAGGATTAACTCATACATTCAATCTTTCTTGGAAACCATATATCAAATTTTTTGCAAAATTAGCATCTGCTAAAGTTGCATCTCTCTATCTTGCTCGACACTTTCTTTGGATTTTATTCTTTATCTCTATAAATCTCAAATCCGTCCTTGTTTGGAATACTGTTGCCATATCTGGGGTGGATCTTCTAATGATGCTCTTTCTCTGTTAGACAAGGCGCAAAAATGTGTTGTAAACATAGTTAGACATGCTCTGGCAGCCTACCTCCAACCATTATTATATCGTAATGTTGCTTCTCTCTATTCTACAAATACTATATTAGGTACTGCTATAAAGAGCTAGCGTCTCTTTTGCCATTTACTAAAATTCATTCTTGTGTTACTCATCATTTAATTAAGTCTAATCCTTTTTCTGTGACTATTTCTAAATGCTCCAAAACTTTTCTTTTTCTAATTTTTTTCCATGAACATCAGTTCTTTGGAATTTGCTTCCTTCATCTTGTTTTCCTGATTCATATAATTTTCAATCTTTTAAGTTATCTGTCAATTGTTGTCTTGCTTTATAAACTTCATCTTTTCTCTTCCAACTCTAATAGTGGTTGCTTGCAGCCTTGTTGAAAGCAAATATTTAAAAAAAAAAAAAATTGTATACATATCTATAATGATATTTATGATATAGAGCCAAATAGGATCAAATAGTTCAGGTTTTTCAATTTTATTTTTTGAAATAGATTTTAAATTTTTTATTTATTTTCAAGTTGCAAACAAAGCAAATAAATTTTTTTTAGTTTTTTAAGAAATCTTTCATCTTCTAGTGAACTATTGAAATATATGCATTGTTCACTAGGCTAAATACACTTGTGGCTATACTTTTATTGAAAATATGATTATAACTTGAATGAACTTCTAGTAAGGATATGATTATACTATTTGTAAATTGATGTTTAGATTTTTATTAAAACACAAAAAGTATTTCTAGTAATCAACTAACTTTACTATTTATTCAAAGTAGAGTTGACTGGGTATTTATTTTAAATTCAGAAAGAAGACAGGTAAATACAGACAAGTCTAAAAAACTAGTTACTCACACATGTTAAAGATATATGTTAGACACAAAATGACCATAAAAATAAAATAATGGTAAAAAACAGGTATATTCTGTTTATTGCACCTGTCTGATACTAGTAATAAAAGTAAGTTGCATTATCAAAAGATATTCTACATCTTTTTTTACATAAGTTGCATTATACATTAGGGTGGAGTGAAAACAACTTTTTTTAGAAATTCATATTTTCTCCTTGATTTCTATAATAATTATAGGAAAACTAAAAAAATGAGACCAAAATGAGCAAAATTGGACAAGAATTACCAACAGCACCAATTTTTGGACTATTCTAAACCAAAAGTTTCCAAATTTTCTACATTTAATACAGGCGCAGATCCAGCTTTTTTTGGTGTTAAAAATAGCTAACAGACATGGAGCAAACTTTAAACATTTATATGTTTATACTTACATCAAAAAGGGATGCTTTACAAAAAATTGCAATGATTGGGGCCTGTAAACAAAAATGCCCCAAACAAATTATCCCCCTACCCCAAATTTGAGGGCAACTAGTTTGCAACATATTTTTTTTACTTTTCTCAACTCGATTAGAATTCATCGATAGATTTCAAATTTCATGAAATAATCTCTTAGTATTTAAAAGTTATCCCCCATAAAATTATTCCCCTCAATTTGAGGGGGGTTGTAATTTTTATGTTGCCATAATTTTTGAACAATAAGAAATTAATTCATGAAATTTGAAATTTATCAATAAATTCTAATTGAGTTAAGAAAAGTAAAAAAAAAAAAATGTTGCAAACTAGTTACCCTCAAATTTGGGGTATGGGATAATTTGTTTGTGGCATTTTTGTTCCCAGGCCTCAATCATTGCAATTTTTTGCAAAGCATCCCAATTTGACGTAATTATAAATATGAATGTTTAAAGTTTGCTTCATGTCTGGAAGTTACCTATCTCTAACAACAAAAAACGCTGGATCTGCCACTAATTTAATATTTATTAATTTAAATAATGATTATTAGTATCATTTCTTTGAAATAGATTTATATTAATTTATAAACTGGTTATTTTAGAGATTTTTAGAATTGAAGAGGTGCATATAATACAAAATATTTACATTTATAGAGAAAAAATCATACTAATTAGTGTTATAATGTGCCTTGGTATTAAATATTGGCATATTCTTCCTAGATTGTAGACAGACACGTATCATACCATCTCTATTTATCTTGCCACAAACTGATGCGGAAACAACTGTCACCATCTTTACACAACGTTCCACTCCTCTAGCTGCTCGTTAAACACCTAATTCTCCGATTTGTGGCTGATTATCTGCCACATATCCGAGAATATTTTTGATGATGAACCACATAGGGGTATAAATTCGCATAATGAATGTCGATAAAATTACCAAATTTGACGAGGGACTGCTGGTAGAAAAATATATTCTGAGGATCCTATTGGCAGTGGTGAGCCACCTAGAATGAGCCAGTTTCCCAGTGCTGCGCTTCTCTAGGTTGGTAGAACAAATACCACTTAATACTGCTTGGCAGATGTCAAAAAGATAATGTTGATCTGTACTGAGCACTTTTCTGTCCACCTCTTGCATTTCTACATTATGGTTTATAGGTTGAAAATCAACAATCTTTAAGACCTCACAAGTTTCAAAGGACTTTCCAATTAAGCCTGAATAGCATCTCGGACCAGATGTTGGACCATCCAACTCTGCAAACAAATGGCGTAGTGGAAGCTTGTTTGCATGTAGTAAACAAATTACCTAGTATATAAATTAATTAGTAGAGGCCGTTGAAGTTCTAACTCAATCAATCTGATAACGCCACCCTTGTTTCCTGTGTTTACATATGTTCCATCACAGCCCAGCACTTGGAAATTATCCAAAATAATATTGTGCTCTTTAGAATACTGTATAATTGCAAATTTTAGTGATTCAGCTGTTCCGATTTTTTGCCATCAAAGTACAACTCCATTACTTGGATTTCACCAACTTTCTGGTTATCCCTTGTTTTTATGGGCTCACGCCTGATCTTGCTGCGGTCAATAACTTGTGTTTTGTTATCATATGAAATAACTCCAATATCCTCAAGTACAGCTGATGCCACAGCTGCAGCCGATCTGTCTAAAAGTCCATGGCGCTCACAGGCTAATGAGAGAGAAGGGAGAGCATCTGCCTGTTTGTTGGAGTTTTTTGGAGCTTTATATTCTGCTCATAAAGGTTAAAATCTCTGTAAAAGATGGAATTGATGACACAGTTGGTATGATACATTTTCTCAAAATTCTTAAGACCTCTATTTTGGTTGAACCAGCTTCATTCTTTTTGTTGGTTTTTCCAGCAGGTGTCTGTAAATTCATTATATATATATATATATATATATATATAAATATATATATATATATATATATATATATATATATATATTTATATATATATATATATATATATATATATATATGTATATATATATATGCATATATATATTTGTTTACATCTAATTGTATTATTATTTGACAAACGATATGTAATATCTTGCTTACATTTACTTTTAAATACACCATATGTTGCATAACATCTAGTCCTGTTGGCAGTTGCACATCAGAGAGTGGCTTTAAATACCCAAAGAATGGATGATCTGTTTTAGATCTTAACATTTTATTTACTGAAATTTAAAACAAAGCTCAAAATATATAAATGGTGATAATTATTATTACTGACTAAATGATAACAAGTATTATAGATATTATAATAAATACTATTATTTATTAATTGAATACTAACCTTTAAAAATATGGTTCGGGGAAAGTAGTAGAGCGTGGATTTTATTATTTACTAAATATTAACTTTTTTATTTCAAAAAATATCTTTTAAATGATTTAAAAGTATTAGATTAACCTTTTCAATGCAAAAGTGAGTATTTTGGTCATAATACTAATGGATAATACAATCATACCTAATATGTTATAACTTCAAAACTTCTTCAAAAAATATATTTTTAAAAATTTAAAGTTTGCGCTTTCAATAATAAGTAATAAGTATTATTAATAATAATACTTAATAATAAAATATTCCATCAATTTATAATTATTAGGAAAGTGCACAGTTTATAGAGTATTCATTGTCAACCATAAAGCAGCTAAAAACTGTGATTCAATCCTTTGAAGAATGGCCAAGAAGTAAAGCTTTGTTTTTGCTTGGAACTGAGTCTCAATCACCGGAAATACATCTAAAGCATTTTCAATTAAGTATTCCTTTTTAAGAATCTACTTTATAAATATCTAAGTATTAAGCTTTTCATTTAAGGAATTTTTTTTTTAGGTGTTTAATCAGAGTCTTTTAACTGTGTTAAAAAGTTGTTTAAATGAAACATTCACACCAAAACTAGTTTTTGCTTTAAATGCACTTAAATTTAAGTTGTATTTCCATTTGCAAAAAAATAAAAAACTAATCAAATCTTGCAACACCATTGTTACAACTCCTTGTGTGGTAATTGATACAGGAGAACCAAGTGATGAAAATCTGAATAACATTAATGTTGAGAAAATTGTAGTAGAAAGCAATAGTGATAGATTTAATGATACAAGAAGCAGTAAAACGTTGTTTCAAAAAAATGATACAAAAGAAGTTTCTATAGACTCTTTTGCAGTTAAAATACAAGCTTGTTTTAAAGGATTCTACATCAGAAAATTAATTAAAGCTTGTAAAACAGGTGGGTTTTGTTTTGTTTTATTTTATTTTTTTTACTATATTAAAGTTAAACTAGTTTATAATACTTTTACAAGTGAAATGTTATGCTTTATTTCTAGGCACAAAAGAGTTTGATTTTGTTGTTTCTGATTTAAATAAGTTGTGGATTCAAGTAGAATCAAACATTGAGTATATTGCACTAAAAGTTACTCATGAGATTTTTCAATCCGATCCATCTATATTACTTTTATTGCCATTCCAATCAAGTGAATGGAATAGTATTATTCAAAATGAGTGGAATAAAGTTGTTTATGCAGATTATTTAGTCAGTTATAATGAACAGCCAATTCACTCTGCTTTTGTTATATGTAGGTAAATATTATATGATTTCAAAATTAAGGTTTATTTCTTTTTCTGCATTTTTTATTTGTAGAATATAAAATACTTGCTATATTTAAGGTTGAATATTTAAATTTCTAACTTAAGTTACTTCAAAAATAAAAAATATAACCAGGGGCAGATTATAACTGAGGCAATTGAGGCACGTGCCTCTGGCCCCTGAATTTTGTTAACACATATTTTTTTACTTGAAGTATTTAAAGTCATGTGCTATTTGAAAGTAAGAACAAGAAACCAAGAACAATTTCTGTAATAATATATGTTCCTTTTAATACACAACATATAGAAAATTCCGTAACAGCCTTAAGTTGACTCATTTGAGAGTTGAAATTGTTGAAAATTTAGCATGTTCATCTAAAATAGAAACTTTTTTCCATTGTACAACAGTTCAGAAGCAAAAAAGTCCAATACCAAAATGTTAAGGTGAATGTGAAGTCAGAGAAGTTTAAAATCAAGAACCAGTTGATCTTGAACCGGCTACAGCTGAAGCAGACATTGACACAGAACAAGCAGTGTCAATGTCTGCTTCAATGTGCAAGAACAAGCAGTGATAGACCTGCCAAATGTTTGTGATATGGGTTTATGAAAAAGTGTTTTATCAAACATGCTTATTTTATCAGCACCGGTGGTATTGAACAACATAAAGATGAAGGATTTTTGCAATTGAAACTCTTGGACAAAACGCTATTTTATTCCTTTATTATTCACTGGGCATCGTAAGTTGATTGGTGGCAACTTGAAAACGTTGACTTGTGTGGAGGTGATGAACATTGTGATGTTTTAGCAGCACGTTACTCCAATGACATAGAAGTCTTTTTGGGAGAGGAAAGGGTTCAATTTTGGTCTTACGCAGTCACACAAATGAGTTCTGATGATACAAAACAAGCAAGGAGTTGTTGATGTACTATGTTTTGCTCAATAATGGTTTGGTAGAAATTTCTGAATGTTGCAGTAGCTTTTAGAATTTACCTCAGCCTAATGGTGGCAAATTGTACAGGAGAAATAAGTTTCTTGCAATTAAAGCATATAAAAAATGAATGTTGTACTAGAATTAATCAAGAGCAGCTCGACATGCTTTCTTTGACGTGTATTGAAAGTGAGGTGACCAGGCAACTCTCATTTGATGACATTGTTAAACAATTTTTCAGAAAAAAATTCCAAAAATATGACTAAATATATAACTGAAATATTAAATACCACATCACTTTTTCTTTATTCAAAATGGCCCCCAAATTGTTTGTGCCTTTGGCCCCAGGTACCTTTAATCCGCCCCTGAAAATAACCCAAAGTATGTTAGAAGTAAAATGTATAACTTTTACTTTTTTTTTTTTAATGTATTAGCTATGTTAGAAATAAAATATTTAATCTAAGTTATGTTAGAAGTAAAACAATCCTGAATAGGAGCTCACTTTGAATCATTAAGTGTCTTTACCATGCTACCACTTTTATATTTCTACTTTGCTAGTTTAATACTGATTTTAATTGGGAAAGGTAACAGTGATAACTTTTTGATGCCTTTAAAGTTAATAGAAATGAAGAAAAACCTTGTCTATTGAAAGAAGTTTAAATACTGCCATAGGAGGAAAAACAATCACTTTAAAAAATTTTCCTGATATGAAAAAAACTATGGAGAAGAATAAGATGTCAGGATATGTCAAAAGCGTCAATGGTTCTTACCGCTTTTATTTAAAGTACTATAGTATCACAGACAACCAGCAAATATACAGTAATACAAGTAGTAACAATGTATACATTTTATCAACATTTGTACTTCTCTTCAACAAGTCAAATTAATTGCAGAAGCTTTTGTCAATAAAATACAAATCTTCTTATTTATAAGGAAAGATTTTTAATTAAGCAAAAAATGTTTTGAAGAGCAAAAACATGAAAAATTTAGACACTCCAATCCATCATATTCAATAAACAAACAAATCAAAGAAATCCAAAAATTTATTTTTGCAAAAAAATTGAGCAGTGACATTTTAGGCAATTATAGCAAGATTTTTTTTTGGATTTTTTTTTTAATGTCTTTTGTTAGTTATTAAAAAATTTCAAAATTCAAGGTAAATTGTTTTTGAGGCATAGAAAAATTATTACAATATATTTTTCAATGTAAAACATTTTGTTTAAAAATGGAGTAGCTAAATTTTATAAAAGCAAAGCAAAATAGCAACAAATTTTCTTTACTTCTTATTCCAAAAGTTTGTTTTATATTATTATCTTATCTTAAAATTCAATAACAATACTGGTTATAAAATTATCTGTTAAACATGGGATTTTATAATAACTTTGTTTTTAAAATTAGACATTTTTTTATATTTTGTAATTTTAAAATTCTTGATTTATTATTGATTAGTTTTTATAATTCTATTATAAAGGGAAGTGTATAAAGTTAAAGAAGATGTTTTTATACTGCCAAGAGTATTTTCTAGTATTCCTCAATGTGTACTGAGGATTATAAACAATGACAATCATAAAGAGATGAAATCTTTTTATGGAAAGGTGTTTCCTCAAGTGCTTCCAGTTAATGAGGCAAGTTACATTTACATTTTTTTATTTTTTATTGTTATTTAAAATAATTTATTTTATAAAATTTTTATATTTTTCACATAAGCTTGGTTACACATTTGTTGTTTTGGTAAGAAAAAATAATAATTTGATTTCTGCTGGAAAGCTTACTCTTCGTATTATTGGTGAAAAAGAACCTCTTCCATATCCAAACAAAGAAAGTTGTATAAATTCCAGCTTGTCAACTATGGATATTAAAGAATACTACATACCAAACCTGTACAAAAGAATATTTAGGTTTAATTTTTAGAATTATAAACTTTCTTTTAATTTGCAACTTTTTTTTTTTAACATACATAAATTGTGTTTAAGAATTTTTTTTTGTAACTTTGTTCATCAAGTAATTAAAACAGTAATAGTATCATTCAATAATTACTTAACATTATTTTTTCTTATTTATATGTGTGTATTTATTATTAATTTTTCTGACTATTTTGCTTTAAAATCTAGTATAGTTTAATTTAATATTTTTTTTAATATAAATTTATTTATAAACCCCGTTTGAATATTGAAATACTTATCTTTTAGCTAAAAGAATGCCAAAACCTAAACAAAGTCTATGTATATAGACTCCCATATGTCTATCCCTATTTAAGTAGATTTATTTATGCATTGATGAACTTTTCTTATGAAAGTTTGAAAAATTCAAGTGAATGATAAACATTATAAATAAACAATAATAGTTAAAAAATATATAGCTACTTCAAAATAAAACCAACAAACAAAAATTGCAAAAAAAAATGTTACACATGGAATATTTATAGCTACAACTTTGTCAGCCGGGTCTCATATTATTAGCATTGTAACATCTAAAGCACTACGTCATTGCACAATGCTTGCAATGTAAATGATTAATGTATGTATTTTTTGCGTACTGTATAAATTTTTCACTTAATGTATGTATTTTTCACGTACAAATGTTTCTATTATATGCATGTTTGTACACGCGTGCAAATGAATTTCATTCCAAACACATGAAATATTCTTAATTACACAAAATGCTTTTATATTTCCAGATATTTCTTTAAAATATTTTCCGGATATTTTTAGGAAAACATTATCTGAATTTTTAAAATATGGCTTGGATTATCACTTTCTTGTGCATTGTATTAAATTTATTCAATTTTAAACAAAGTAATGACACACTTTAATTGCTTAGTAATAAAGAGTAATAGTAACTAGCATCTCTTATATAATTCTCTTTACCCAAAACTTCTTTTATTATTGAGAAATTTTGTATACAGTTTGATAAGTATGAATTAACTGACAAGTATTAATATTTTTTCATAAAAAAAAACTGGATTTTTTAATTCTTACATCATTGAAAACCAAGTTTTGATGATTTTTATGACGATTTAAAGATTTTATAATGATATTTATATGATTGAACACCAAATTTTGATAAAGATTGATATTTTTACAGTTAATATTACTGTTTGTAAGTCTGCTGCAAAAGAGGGTTGGTGATCTTTGCTAATCAATAAAAGAGGTTGGTGAAAAAGTTACAAAGCTTTCTTTGAAAATATAACACATTAAAGAATTTTTAATAACAAATAAAATCTATTTGGTTAACTCATGTTTATCATTTCTGTTATTAAATTGACATGATACCATGGTAGTAGTTTTAATAACAAAATCTTAAAATTTTTTGTTTATGATTGAAAATGCTCTGTTATTATAAATGTCATATTATATATAACTTTCATTGAAAAAAGTTATTTTATAATTAAAAATGCTCTATTATTATAAATGTTATATTATATATAGGTATACACTAAATGTATCTGCTGCTACTTTAACAAGCATACAGTTAACTACTTCTAATGAAAATGCTTTAATTAGTTTCAAGGTCTGTTATTATATTATACTTTAATATTAGTTATTTATGCTGTGAAACAAGATTTTTTTAAGCTTTTTTTTAAATTTGTTTTCAGATTATTGATAATAATGAAGAATTGTATACATGTAATGGAAAAGGTTATATTGATATACCAAGTTTTATGTTTTTTAAAGACAATCTGCCTTGTAGCAATTCAAATGGTAAACTTTGCTCCTTAAAAATTTCATCTTAAAAATACAATGTATAAAGTTAATAATATATAAAATACTATTTATTTAATATTTATAAATACAGTTACTCAATCTGAATCAAATGGATTTTCAAAAGGAGTACCTTTCAAAGAGAATTTATCTAAAATTACAGTTAAGCAATCCATTAATATGCGATTAAATAATAATGTAAGTTCTTATTGTTTTCATGCAATGCTACATGATATTTTGTGGATATTTTTGCAATGCTACATGATATTTATTTTTTTTTTTTTGGACAACTAAAAATATGCCAAATACAAATTTTTTAAATTAAAATTAAATGCAAGTGAATAAGTAAATAACAGCCCTCGGAATCAGGGAAAATGATTAAATCTTAATCTTATAGAGATTGGCATCAGGTCGGCAAAAAAAATTAGATACAAAGGTTTTACCATAAAACATAGAAACGAGGTCAACACTTTTTTGCCCACCTCAAACACTTCTAAGTTGACAGTTAGATCATTGCCAAATTCGGCATTGCCAAATGCAGATCCTAATTATGATGGCTGGAATAAGATATTTGCTCATTCAATTAAAAAATACTCAATCTGAAACCTACTTGTTATGGGTTAGTTAGGAGTAAGCAAGTAAGTCTCTGTTGACCAGCCTCATACTTCTTATTCTCCTAATAGACTAGTGTAGATGTAAACCTGTTCAGAATAATAAGTGCTGAATCTTCCTGACTTGACTCATAAGCTGCTACTCAAATCTTCTCAGTATTTCAATTATCAAAGATAGTATGTTAATCGTCATCCTTTGTTCGCATTACTGAGTTGATAAGAAATTGTTCATTTTGTTGTTTTTATCATAATTTAGTGAACTCATTGGAAATGAGAAGCTGCCAGTGGGTTAAAATGCCATTTAATAATAACATTGCTGGTTGCATTGTTTATTTTTCCCTTTATTAGAAAAAAGGGAAAAATAAATTTGTTGTAAAAGTTTGTATTTCTTTGTTTACTAATACAAAGTACCCACCATTTTCCAATATTTCTTTAGGTGTTTCTTTTTGATTGCTCATTTTGTAAAATTAGAAATAAATTGGCATTCAACCCGAATGCTACTTCAAAGTAAAATGCTCATGAAGACAAACAAGTAAATAAGGTTAAATAACGTTTTGCTTATTTTAGTCTTTTTCCTTGAATAGTTATATTTCCGTTGATTGTCGCATCTTAACAAATTATTTTCATCTAATTGAGACAATAACTTTAATAAGCAACATTTTTTGGGCGTTCCTTTGTTACTTTTTAATCAATTGTACTTATTGTCATTTTTTTTAAGTGTTTATAATTAATACTATTTCTGCATCATCAATTTCTTCCATTCAGAGTGTTTCTGATGATAGACTATTTCATTACAGTTGTTTTTGAATCTTCACACCCATGCCAATACTCCAAAATACTTGGTTCCAAATGTTATTCATTGGTATTTTTTTTAGATTGAATAGCCAAAGGATAAATGTTCTTTTCTTTCAATATTATTTTTGTTCTTGATTTTTTTGAGTTCATTGGTTGGTCATTGTGATTCTTTTTTTAAACTAAAATCAAGTTTGTTCTACCACAAATTACTATTCAGTAAATCACTTATTTTTTACCCTCTAACAATGGCGTTATGTAACAACAGATGAAAAATATTTGGGATTTTTCTCTGTTGGTATGTAACACCACTATTTTAGATTTTGAAAAATTCAGATTTCTCATTTTTATTCCACAAAGAAAAGCTTCTATAATGCAAGGTCAAGGTTCAATCCTAACACTGCACTTATTAACTCAAATATTTGAATGCTAACAGAAGTTTAATGGAGCAATACAAGTTGATGAATTATAACTATGTACTAAATAACAAACAAATATTTTTGTAAAGCGTTGACAAATACATGAAGGATTGAACTAATCATTTTATTAATGTTTTAAAATTGTTCACTAAGCAAAAGTCAGATATCAATTGTTTCAATTGATATCTGACTTTTGCTTTATTTGTTCTGAAATATTATTTTTGCTCAAATTCCAAAAAAAGACAAAAGTCTGAGTGGATTGAAGAGCTTTGAAATGTACTTTAAAAACAGCCTTTTTCTTCTTTCTGGTTCAGATGGTAAAGTGTAATTTATATCTCCAAGTGCTCTTGTTATAGGCCATCCCAGTGGCATGAGTCAGGCTATAGATTCCTAGTGTATACTTCTGTTTTTGATGAGTGAAGTTCTGTGTTTCCTAGTCTAATAAAAATATTTACAGTTGTTGTCCTAATCTACAAAATGGTATAGTTTTTAAGTGACTAGAGGTTTATATATTTACTTGTATTTTACTTGTAACTCTGTCAACTGTTAATACATTTACCTACTTTTTTTTTAATTTACTACCAATGTTTTCTAAGATTGATAGTATTTTTGCTGGTTCTCCATCCAAACCAGTTACAACAGAGCTTGTTTAATAGCTCATCTTCTCTTAAGAAGTTCTAGCATGCCACTTAATTTCTTTATCAAGGTTGTCATTTTTCAACACATTCAATTCAAGTTGTCAAGTGTTCAAGATCTTAAGATATGCTCTATCAATCGATTATTCATTAATACACTCATTTATCCCATTTTCATTTTTTCCACTCATGGTTGTTCATAACCACTTTGTTCAATATCACTTTTTTTCATATTTTGAAAAAAAAATGGCTAGGAAGGTTAGAATTAAGTTACTCTATAAGCATTTTTCTTGTTCTTATAAATGCTTTGTCATTGCCTTAGCTCATTTTAGTTGATCCATCTGATTAAGATGAATTTTGTCTAGTTCTTTTTAGCTTTTACTACCGGTCATTGTTGCATTCAATTGTTTGAAACAAATTGTTAGAATGAGAGGAGGTGGTTCAAGAATAATGGATTAAACTATAAGCATTATATTTTTGAATAAACATTAATCAACTTTAAACTGAAGCGATAACTATCTAAATGAATTATTTACACAATCTATAATGTAAAATATTTACACAACTTATATCATAATATTTACTGTCTAAAGAAAGTAAATATTATGATATAAGTTTTTTTAATTTACTACCAATGTTTTCTAAGATTGATAGTATTATTTTCTAAGATTGATAGTATATGGTATAGTTTGTGTAAACAAACTGTACCATATATTATATGGTATAGTTTGTTTACACAAACTATACCATATAATATTTCCCCATAGTGGTATTTTAGGTTGTTTTTTTTTTCATTTTCTATTACCTAATTACAGAACTTGCTATTGCCTCATTAGATGATGTAATCTCTAAGGTCAGTATATGACACTTAAAGATGTTTTATATTACAATTTTATAAAATATTACAATATTATTATTTACATTAATTGTACTTAATCAACCACAGGCTTGCACTAAAAACCTCTGAGAACATATTTACATCAAAAATTATAGTTTAAAATCTCTGAAAACATTTTTACAAATATTAGTTAGAAACTAATTAGAACAATTTAAGAGCATTTCGTGGTTAGTAGCAAAAGTTATTAACCACAAAAAGGTATTAACCACGAAATGTTATTAAACATTAGAGTGTTTTTTAAAATGATATTATAGTAATCAAGACAATAAAAAATGACTTGTTTCAACCAATCAGAAGTTGTTCTTATTGGGTATATATAAATGCGCTATTTAGTGGTAACCTAGTTCTTTTTAAAATACTTTAAGAAAGTAACCTCAGCTTTAAAATAAGTAAAAACTATAAAATGCATCTAAACTGAATAAGCTTATTTCTTAATTCTATAAATATGGTGACATGCTACTAACTAACTAGAGTGAATTGTAATTGTTCGAAAAAAACTTTACTTTTCTGGTATGTCTGCATTGAGGAAGTTACCAAGGAATAAAAGAGAGTTACTTCTATAATATTGGAAACATTTAAAACTCAATTTCTATGTTTCAATGATCCTGTGTTTGCAAACAGAGTTTGGATGGACTCAAGGGATTATTCAGTTAATGAAAACCCAACATACAGCAAAGATATGTTTGTTATTCAAATATTGTAAATGAGTGGGAAAAAAAGTCAAGTACTGTAATTAAGCTTGTTATAACAAGCACCAAACAAACATTTTTTATTATTATATCTTATTATTGCAAGAAATCTATGTAAAAAGATGCTGTCTGATGCTAAACTTCATTATTCCCAGTTTACTAATTCTTGTATCTTATCAGATGGGTGCTGTCTGATGTTAAGTTCTATTGTTCCAAGTTTACTAAATCTTGTATCTCATCTCAAAAGGTAGGCTCTGAGATTTTTGGAAAATCTTTAACAGTGTCATTAACTAAAGCAAGTCTAACATTCCATTTCTTATTTAAGGGTCTGATCTTATTACCTCTCCCAAATATAAGGCAGAACTATTTGCAAAAAGCATTTTCTCTAATTCAACTCTTGAATTTATTGGTCATACTCTTCCTGCCATTCCAGTTAAACAGGTTAACCCATTGTTAAACATCCAAATAACTTCAGCTTCTGTTGCTAAAGTCATTTCTTAATTAAACTATTCTACAGCTTGTGGTCCAGACAATATTTCTGTTATAGTCTTATAAAAGTGTTCTTCAGAATTCTCTTTAGCTCTCACTAAACTATTTAATTAGTGCTTGACTGAATCTTGATTTCCTGCTTGCTGGAAAATGGCATCTGTGGTTCCAATTTTAAAAAGATCTGGAGAACATCATCATCTATCTTCTGATCTTTCTTCATTATTAGCAAAGTCTTTGCATCTGTATTCAACAAAGCAGCAAGGCAAGGGCTTTTGCTTTTGAAGTATCAAAAGCTTATGATAAAGTTTGGCATATTGGTCTTCTCAGCTAACTTCTAATGATACTTTCTCTATGCTGAAAATCAAAGTGAGGAAAACAAAAGAAATTAGCTATAACGCTTGTAGGTCTGTTTATCTGCTTAACTCACCTTTAAGCTATCTACCTACATACCAACTTCCATCGAATAGAAGTGTTCTTCGATATTACTTGTTCCTAACTTCAGTTAGAGATAAGCGATTCAAACTTATTAAAACAAACCTATTAAAACAAACTTTTTATGTTCTTGAGCACAAGAGGATGTTATATGCAAAGGGAAAGACGAGTTTTGTAATTCAAATACAGAAAAATACTGTTTGCTCTGACAAATTGCAAATATTTGGATTTCTGCAGGTTTCAGTAATTACTTGATTTCAGAGAGAAGTATAATGAAAAATTTTAAATCTTTATACAGCAAATACAAAATTTTGTGCAACATTAAAATCTTTCAAATCAAAAAGCGAATTTCCGAATGCCACAAAAATGACTTTTACAATATGGTAGAGCAATTTTTTGGCATCAGTGCAAAAGACATGATGAATCAATGTCTGGTAATACTTCTGCTTTACAATAGGATTTGGCCTTCTTAGATGATCAAAGGTATTTTTTGCTTAATTTTTTTTGGGAAGATTTAACCTATTGAAATCAATCTAATCTAATCTACTAATTTTTCTAAATATATAAAATCATTTTTTAAGAAAGTTTGTTTTTTTATTCAAATTTATCTACGCTAAGTATTTTAACAACTTTTTGCACAGAACTAGCAGAAAACATGCACAATATAAAGATTGATAGAAAGAAAGAATACAAAAATTGAGCAACAATTCAATAATTTGTGATAACAAAGAGGAAATTGGTGAAAAAAGGCAATGGAACTATAAATTTTTTCCTAACAATGATATAGATTTTGATGATGATAAGGAACCTACAGAACCTTAAAAACAAGAGCTGAATCACAATTAGGTAATATTAAAGTATAATTTGTTTAACACATGAAAATATTTATTTCAACTTCTAATTAAATAAATAGAGAGAATATTAAAAAAAAATTCTAATAATACACAGGCATTTTTGGTAAAATTATTAATTTTTCGAAGTAAGTGTATAACTGAACTAAAAATCTTTATATTAATTTAGATGCTGGAAGTGTAATTGCCAGAAGTTTTTGCCAGAAGTTTTTGTAAGAGTCAGAAGTTTTTGTCCTAAATAAAAATGTTAATTTTCATGAAGCAAGCTCAAAAAGTAGGCATCAGTTTAGACCAGCATACTTCAGCATAGAAAAAGAGATAACCAGTCAGAGGCTGTTCTACAAATTAAATGAGGGGAGAGGGTGAATCCTTAACAACTACTGGTTCCAAAATAAAAAGGTCTAAAAAGGTCCTCAAAACTAAAATTTATCAGAATGAGTTGTCAGATACTTGACTAGCCGACTAAATAAAAGAGTAAAAAAACCGACTATAACTCAAAAATCACCTTCTTTCGGTAGGGTGTTAAACACACACACACACACGTAAAATCGCCTCTAAAACCAGTGAGGGTCTCATTATTACATGAACGTTAAATATGAGAAGTTAAATAATTTTCACATCTATCAACCTAGCGCCTGTCACTATGCAAGGTTTATGGCCTATGCAATATACTTTCTAATGCTTGATATGACATCCACAGTCATTGAATATCTATTTATATCATTTATTTTTCCATTTTATTATGGACCTACTTTTCTTAAATCATGCAAAGCAGAGCATGCTGTTTTAAATGATTTTAATGCATTCGAAATTGTTGAAACAATTAAAACAGAATGGGAATATGAAGTTGGAAACTTACTTCAGAAAAGCATCAGTAACCACACATGGTATTTATCTCCTAAAGTTGTCGTACTATCGTTAGGTGATCCTCATATGAAAGCAGATGCTAAGTGTTTAATTATTTAGAAACTTTTAAAATTTCTAGTCCCTGATTTATCAGAGATTTCTGTAGAAGCTCCTTCTGTTGTTATTGTTACCAGTGATAGTCGATTAGAGGATTTATTTCTCAAAGAGAGTTGGCTTTTTTTATACTTACAGGTCACACCAAATTTGTTCGAGAGTGGCATACTTTAAGTGATTTTTAAGTGCTAGATTCATACATACATTTCACTTAGTTCACAATTTTAGTGTCACCAACGACTGCGCAGAAAAAAAATTGAGTTTAATTGAAAACTTTGTTCATATTTCCCGCAATTAGGATCAGAGACAGAACATTCTTTTGGTAGTCAGGAAACATAAGAAGCTAATAACAAAAGATATGTCACTTAAGGAACTGGTAAAGCTGAAACCTAGAGTTGAAAAATTAATGTAAAATAATAGCTAATTGTATGAAATTATAAACAGTGTTTTTTTTTTTCTTTTAAGATCGCACAAAAGTTTAGTTATAAACATATGTTAACCAGTAAAAATGACATAAAGATTAGCCAATCCTCAATATTTGAAAAATTACATGTAGCACTTCCAACAAAAGAAATAAGTGAAATTTTGTATTAAGACTAACTGAATGTTGTAGAACAGGATAAACAACTGCGGTTATTGAAAAATTTCATTATTTGACCCTATTTTGTGTCACCCTAATGTGGATAGGTAAATACTGATTTGCAAGGAGGACAACTTCTTATGATAAATATAAAAAGCAATCAAATTTTAAAATAATGACCATTCAGACTATTCTAATGAAGATAACTGTGTGTGTATACATACATACATACATACATACATACATACATACATACATACATACATACATACATACATACATACATACATACATACATACATACATACACATACATACATACATACATACATACTTATATATATATATATATATATATATATATATATATATATATATATATATATATATATATATATATATATATATATATTTATTTATTTATTTATTTATTTATACATATGTGTGTATATATACATATTTTATAACTTGAAATATGGTTTTAACTGTAAACAAAAACAAAGTTTCAATAAATTTTATTGTCTCAAAATGTTTTATTTAAAATACAATTTCGAAAAAATACACTAATAAAAAAATTCAAATCAAATTTATTAGTATTAGAGGTCTTTAAAATATATATAGTTATTAATAATAAATATATTTTAAGATAATCTTACTTAATTTACAGACTGATGAAGGAGAAGGTCTTAAAGATCAGGTCAGTCAGTGTTATTTTTATATGTTAACTGTTGTTTTATAAAATAACAGTAGAAAATTTAATTCTAATGTTTTTGGTCATGGATATAATTAATATTAAGACATAATTTTCTTACAAAATATTTTTTTTATATTTTGCTGAATTTTTTTGAAATCTCTGTTTACAATAATTTATATATGATTAATTTTAAAGGTTCATAGCTATGTTATTGAAGCGTTCATTCTTAATGATAGTTGGCCTTTGACGAAAGATCAATGGAACTTTTTAGAAAAATTGAAATTAAAAGAAGAATTTGAGGATGATGATAGTATGCTTTATTATTTTTATTCCTTTATTGTGTTTTATACTTACCCAACAAATCAATATGCAATAGTTGTAACACTATAGGTTTAACAAAATAGTTTTTTGATGCTATCTTGTTGTGCTGTGTTATTTTTAACAACTATCTGTGAAATCTCTATATGAAAAGTATGCCCTATTATTTTTTGGGCATATGTAAGATATTTTACTTAAAACTTTGCACTTTTTTTTATGAGTTTTCAAAATAATTAAAATAATAATGATAATAAACCTGTCGGAAAAGTTGAATAATATTGTAAACTAAAAAAAATATTTTAAAATAATGGCGTTTCGTTTTTTTTTTTTTCATATTATAAAAAATATATTGTTCAGCTCTCAGGTGATTCAGGAATGTGAATATATTATATAACTGCTAGAAAATAGGGCTTATTCGCATGTTGTTCTTCTATAGTAATATGGAACAAGCTCCATATGACGTTTTGGTATCCATTTTTAATCCTTTTTAGTTAATCCTAATTATTTTCTTACTTAAAATTGTGATAACTAACAAAACAACAGCATAAAAGTCTTCAACAACATGACCACTTCTAGATTTAATGATAGCCTGGCAAATATGAGGCAATCTGTTGCACAGCAATTGTAATTATTGACCATCAAAAGCATTCCAAATATTTTAAATTGATGTCTATAGGTCTTTTTTGCACCTCTCTGTGTAGGTGATCCCAAAATAGTTTGATTGGATTGCAATCAGGTTTTTGAGGTGGCTAAGCCATTAACTGTAGTGTTCTATTCTCAGATTTTTTCCATAAATATTCTTTCATGACTTTAGCTTATATTTTAGATGATTGTTTTTTTGGAAAACAAATCCTTTACTAATAAGTTCTCTTCAACAATGCAAAACATGTTCTTTCAAAATATGTAAATAGACCTATTTTGTAATTTTTTTTTTGTCTATTTTTAAAAGATTTCTAACATGGCCACCTCCAAAATAACACCAAACCATAATGTCCTATTTTTGTAATCTTTAGCCAAATTCAATCGTTTATGTTTATGAACTTTTGTCAGACATGGTTTTTTCTTGCTACACAACCTCTAAGACCAACACCTACTAAACATTGTTTAACTATTGTAGCCCTAATTTTTTTTACATGGTGTTTATTGAAATTAGTGTCAGTTTTTGGTGTTGTTTGTTGATGATTTTGTATAGAATTTATGAAACTATGTACAAGTCTTCCTTTCTTGTGATAGAAAAAGGTCTTCTTTGCAGTCATGAAATGATCCAACTTCTTCATTT